ACTTTGAAAAAACCAAACCACAACAAAGGGAACAAACACAGCAACTGTAGAGGGGGTCGGGCCTGGGCCCGGCCCCCCCACAGCGGAGCTCCAAGCCCTCTGGACTCTTCCACCTCACGTCTGCGGCTTTGCTGGGTTTTTTACTGATCCATTCGGATTCTCTTTGATTTGGAGCAGCCGGGGGCCGGGCGCTTTTCGCTTTCCATTCGGGTTTTCCCTTCCCCACGCCCTTTAGAGATCTATTTTTTTAAACAATCAGGAATGAACGCAGAGCAGGATCGGAGCACACTGTCCTAGCTGGGACCCTCAGCCAGCCTAGATCTGGCCTGGGGTCTTCGTGCTCCGGGCCGCACAACGGTGGTTATGATGATTTTAATTTATTATTGCGGGGGGAGGGGATGGTTGTGGGGTCTGGGTTATTTTTAACGCACCTGGTAATTTATTGTAAATTAATTATTATTTTTGGAAAGTTGGGGAGGGAGGGGAGAAGTTTTATTTTTCTGTAATCAGATTTTTTTCTCCCTTTGCTCGGGGGTTCATTTCGTCCCCCTCTTTCCCCTCCCCCACTGAGGCCGTAGCCCCCCCTTTCCTGGGAGGATGAGAAGGGGCTTAACTTTTGAAAAGGGGGAACTAAATGGCGATGCTCCAACCCCCCCCCTCGAAGCAGCCGCTCTCCGAGCGACCAGCCAGCCAAGTCTTCCTCTCTTCATCCGTTTGCACAAATACGGCGCTCCGGCCGCATGGATTGATTGTATCAGCCAGCTGCTCCCCCACCCCCCACCCCCCCGAGCAGCTGGGAACCAGCTTCGCTTCACTTTGAGTTGACTTGCCAACACCCCCAGCTGGCAGCAGACGAGCCGCGGGCACCGCCGCTGCAGGAGGCGCCCAGGGGATAGTCGAAGGTGCCGAAGCTGGATTCAGGGGGCACTGGGCTCCGGACCGTCCTCTGGGGCTCCCGCCTGGTGCCCTCTGCGGCATGAGGCCCCCAACACCAGCGCAGCCGGGCACCACTGTGAGGGCCGGGCGTTCCAGGGGGCCGACCCTTGGGACTCTGGCCCTGCGAGAGGATGCAGCCCCCGAGGGCTTTAACTGACCCCCCTCGGGCTCCTGAAGCCCCCGGCCCTCTCCCTGCGCTGGCGGCTGTGGGGGCAGGGCGGGGGGGGGGGGAGGAGTAGAACAAGCGCCCCCCTCTGGCTGTGGCCTCGCAGACCCTGGCGGGCAGTGCTGCAGCGCGGCTCCAGCAGGAGCTGGGTGGGCTCGTGCAGACGCCGGATGCCATCCCCGGCAAACGGGAGCTGGGCCCGGTGGCTGCTGCCTTCTCTGGGCCGGGGGGAAGCTAGGCTGGGCTGCTCTCCCCCCTCCCCCCCGAATGCCCAGCACCCAGAGGGGGCAGGTGAAGCTGGGGCTTTAGAACCATTTCCTCAAGGTCTCCCTGTGCTAAAGGGGGGGGAGCAGCTCCCCCCCGCCAGCTCCACTAGCCGCGTCTGCACGGGCCCGGTTCTGTCTGCAGGACATGCAGGGCTCGCTCTGGGGGGATGATCTTGGGGGTTCCATCCAGGGTGAAAAGTCAAGGTGATCCCCCCTGCAGGAAACCAGAGTTTCTTCCCATTGCATTGGGAAGGGGCAGTTGTATGGCAAATGAGTCCTTTGGGGGGGGGGAGAGGGCAGGGAGGTGGGATCAGGCTGGGGCTGGCGTGTGCCATCCTGCCGCCCCCTGCACCCCACAGGAGTGAAGCAATAATGAGGTTCCCCCCCTCCCCCCCAAATGCTTCAGCGAGCTTTCGAACCAAAGCCCTTGGACGCACCGTCCCCTGGGGCCAGCACCTCCGGGGTCCTCGGCCGGGGGCTGCCCTGGGGCAGGGGGATGAGGAACATGGGCAGGGCCCACCCGAGCGATGTGCCACCGGGAATGGGCCTTGGGCAGGCGCAAGCCATGCGGGTGCCCCCAGCCAGCGCCCGGTGGGGCCCCGTGGCCAGCTGGGGGGAGCGGTGCCATGGCTGAACACTGTACTGTAGCAATTGATTTCTATTTTCCGCCAGCCGGGGCGGGGGTGCGGGTGGTGCCCGCCCCTGTAGAGCCTTTATTTTTGTACGCGGTTCGGGTCCGTGCGTCGGTCGGGTCGGTTTTGTTCTGTACATACTGTGAATAGCAGCTGTAAATGACTCCCTCCCCCTCAAACAAGACAGCGTGGGCCGGGGGGGGGGCGTGAGCCCCCTCCCCAGGATCTGACGCTCCCCCCTCCCCCCCCCCCGCGTATGTATCTGGTGTAACTGCTCCTCTTTCGCCATGTCCTTGCCCTGTTTCTCTCTTGGCCTTTCCCAGTCGTCAGCTGCGGAGCTCACAATAAAACCAGGAGGAAGGGACCCTGCCTCTGGCCTCTGGCTTCCACGGGGGCGTTGGGGTGTCCGGGCAGGGCTGGGGGTGGGGTACAGCTGGGCGTGCCCCTGGGTTTGTGCAGGGGGTGGGGGTGCGCCCTGGGCAGCTCAGGGGGGTTGGGCTCCAGGCCAGCCTGTGCATCCCTGGGGCGTGGGGGGGGGTCACCTTACAAAGACCCCAACCCTGCACCCCGGGTTCTGTGCAGCACCCACTGGCACGGGCTGGGGGGTTCCAACGCCGCCGGCTGCTGGCGGCCCCATTCCCAGCCCCGGGGGCTGCGGGCTCAGGCCTGGGGTCGGGGTTGCCACTGGGGCAGTTCTGCGTGGGGGGAGGGGGTCCTGCAGCCCTTCCCCCCAGGTCGGCCTCGCAGTATCGCCGGCCCCGACGGTTCAAACCGCGTCAGGCTCCCGGCCGCAGGCGCCTGGCTCCGAATCACGAGCTTTGGGGAAATGGCCGGGGGGGGGTGTGCGCCTTTCCCGGGCCCTGTGGTCAGAGCCGGACGTGCCCCCCCCGTCCCCGAGGCCGACGATGCCCTTGTTCCTGGGGCCCCAGAGCCCCCACGGGGCGGCCGGAGCCAGACCCGGAGCGTCGCCAGCCCCAGGGCCCCATGCCCAGCCGGGCAGTGCCACCCCCTGGCCCCACGCTGCCCAGGCCATCGCTGGGGGGCAGCTGCCCCTGGGCCCACCCGGGCTGCTGGGGGGCGACGGCCGTCGAGGGTCCCCAGGACTCTGCCCCCAGGGCCCAGGCCCAGCCTGGGGGGGGTTACAGCTCTCACTGGGCCTCACACGCCCCCCCCCCCCAGTCCTAGCCGCCTCGTGCGAGCCACGTGGTCCCTTGGGGGCTCCCCCCGCCCCTTGCAGGGCCTGGCCACGTGGCCTCCCATAGGGCCCGTCCCGCACGCTCTGCGCCGTGTTCTCTGCCGCCACCTAGTGGCAGCTCGGGTAAAAACCGCTCCGCGCGGGGACAACAGGAATCAGCGTATGCGCAATGAGCGAGGGGCGAGGCTAAGTCGGTCCCCTTCCGACTGCGCGTGCGTGCACGCCGACCAACCCCCGCCCCCCCCCCCCCAGTCTTTTTTTTCAAAAAGCGGCGCGAGCCGGACGGCTGGGCGCCGATTGGGCGAGGCGGGGCGGGACGGCCAATCCGCGGCGAGCGGCGGGCGCGGAGGCCAATGGCCAGGAGGTGGGGGCGGGGCGGAGGTGACTAGATCCCGCCTCCTCGCCAGAGCGACCGGACGTAGCGGCTG